CGAACCCGTGTCCCCTGCATCGGCAGGCAGACTCCCAACCACTGCGCCACCAGGGAAGCCCCAGAACTTTTTTTTTTTTATCTGCCAACAAGAATGGCAGGGGCTGCAGATGGCTATGGGGCAGATTCCCCATGGGGGAAGGCTCAACACAGAGCTGGTGTTTGGACTGATGCTGGTAGCCCTGGAAGGCTACAAATGGGTCTTGACAGGGATAGACATACTCTGGACTTGGCTTTGCATGCCCAGAGGTAGACGCAAATGCTCAAAATACTATAAAAGGACTGGACCAGAAGATACTGCATGAATTTGGACTTCCAAGTTACATTTCTTCAGATCAAAGAACACACTTTATACTAAATCCATAGTGTCCAATAAAATAAAATAAATTAAAAAAATTTTAATGGAAAAAAAAGTAAAAATAAGCCCGTAATGTCCAACGATGGGCAAGGAGCTATCACATCAGATGGATGTACCATGTTGTGCACCGTCCTCAGAGTAAAGGTCTAATAGAGAATTGGAACAGGCAACTGAAACATTTGTAGTCTCAAATGGGGGCGGAGGGGCAGATTCACATGCCTTCATGAGTGTGTGCTGACACTTACCATGAGGAAAACCAAGAAAGGGTCCCCAGTAGGTAGATTTCTCCACTTTTCTGGGGGTTCCAGAGGCGAAGGGGTGGGGGAGAATGCTGCTATGCCTCTGCAGTTCTTTCCATGGAAACAAGATGGTGGTTCGACTACACTTTTCTCTTTTTTCTCCACATTGCCTCAACTTTCTTATTTTTGTGCCTGATGCAGTGGTCCCAAGCACCAGGGCTCCAACTGTGGATGCTGGAATCAGGGATGATCCCCAAGCAAGAAATTGTAACTATACTTTTAAACATTTACACCAGAGTTCCTAAGAGGCTGATGAGTGAATTATGCCTTCACTCTACCTGACAGAGTTGGGATTGATCATGAATGCAGCTGTAGTGCCTAGTGGTTGGCAAAGCCCACTCGCTGTGTGCCTGTGTCACCCTGCCCTATATGATGGGTAGGAGTGGACTGAGAGGAGGATTTTGCTGGACTAGTGTTCGTGCCAGCAGTCCGGAACAGCAGAGTGCTAGGCTGAACATAATATCCTTTCCAATGGGGAAAAGTTTGAGTAAAAGTAAATCGCAAATAGAAGGAGCATTGGTAGCCAAGGGGAAAGGAATGAATAAACAGATTATGTGACAAGGAAAATCCAATGCTACATAAATGCCTTGAGCAAGAGATGATACAGTCTCTGAAGAGAGCTCAATTCGCAGATGTCTGGATGGGTGAAGATCACTCCTGTTTTGGGAAACACATAGAGTCGGATGGAAACCTGCAAACCTGAGTGGCATTGCTTTGGGAGACATTTTGGTTGAATGATATGCTAAGCTTGACCAGTTGTTGATGACTGAGTGAAACTCTAGCAAATGTGCTGCTATCTTTTGACTCTTATTTTTCAGGTTCTGTCTACTACTCACACCTCGATATGACGTAACACTGTCATCGTCTCAGCAGCAAGATTGCAGTACTGCTATTGATGGTCAAATCTGTTGGGAAATTGAATTAAGAACCTCCTACTCCACACTGCCTCCTTCAAATGTTAGGCATATATTTGTTTTGTTGCAGAAGAGCTTTGGATGGACGGCCTTGCCCCAGGAGAAGGTCTGGCCTTTGCCGTTGGCTTCTTGGAGGTATTCTATCTCAGACCTGATAGAAGTGTCCTTGTTTAGATGAGGGCTGGCCAAACTGGATTTTAGGGTGGTCATGCCAGAAAGACCAGTCATGTGATTTAGGTGGAAGTCTCCTGTTATGCATTATCAGCTGACCTGGACTCTGCCTTTAGCCACATGGGCAATCAATCAATCATGCCTAATGATGAAGCCCCCGTATAAACTCTGAATGCCAGAGGAGCTGCCCTGGTTGACAACACTCCATGGATACTGCCACACCCCAGTGCTGGGAGGGTCACATCTGGAGCTCTCCAGACTTTGCCCTGTGTACTTCGTCCCTTGGCTGACATTCGTAAACCATAACCATGAGTAAAACTGCTCTCAGTGAGCTCTCTGAGTCCTTCTAGCAAATTATCAAACCTGAGGGTGGCTTGGGAGCCCCTCCTCCAAACTTGCAATTGATGTCAGAAGTCTTGGGGACTGTACCCTCAAATCTTGCAATCTGGCTAATTCTGGGCAATAAGTTAAGAAAGAAGGAAAACTCGGATCAATTCCTTTGTTCCCGAGCTCCTTAGTATTTCTAAAAATAACTTCAAAAAGGAAAAGCAAGCAAACAAAAATACGTGCCTTATGCAAACCGAAACCATAATGAAATGTCACTTTACACCCAGCAGAGAGGCTATAATTAAAAAGACAAATGATAGCAACTGTTGGTAGGGATGTGGAGAAACTGGAACCCTTATATACGGTTGGTGGGGACCGTAAAATTGTGCAGCTGCTTTGTTAAAGTCTGGCAGTTCTGGTTAAACAGTTACTAGAAGATCCAGCAATTCCACTCCTAGGTATATACTCAAGAGAAATGAAAAACTTATACATGAATGTTTATGCTCACAGCAGCATTATTCATAGTAGCTAAAAAGTGGAAACAGGGCTTCCCTGGTGGCGCAGTGGCTGAGAGTCTGCCTGCCGATTCAGGGGACACGGGTTCGTGCCCTGGTCCGGGAAGATCCCACATGCTGCGGAGTGGCTGGGCCCGTGAGCCATGGCCGCTGAGCCTGCGCGTCCAGAGCCTGTGCTCCGCAACTGGAGAGGCCACAACAGTGAGAGGGCGGCGCAACGCAAAAAAAAAAAAAAAAAAAAAAAGTAGAAACAACCTAGAGGTCCACCAATTGATGAATGGATAAATGAAATGTGGTGTGTCCACAGAATGGAATATAATTTGGTCATAAAAAGCATGAAGTACTGATACATTGTACCACATGACGAACCTTGAAAACATTATGCTAAGTGCAAGAACTCAGACACAAAAGGCTACACATTCTATAATTCCATTTATATGAAATATGCAGGATAGGCAAATCTACAGAGACAGAAAGATTAGTGAGTGATTAGCTAGGGCCGGGCCAGGATGGGGAGGAACTGGGGAGTGACTGTGAACGGGTAAGGATTTGTGTGCGCCTTTGGGGGTGTAACTAAATGTTCCAAAATTGACAGTGGTGACAGTTGCACAACCCTGACTATACCAAAACCCATTACCTATGCACTTTAAACGGGCGAATTGTCTGGTGTGCAAATTAGATCTCAAAAAGCTTTTTATCTTTTTTAAACCCTGCCTTGGTAAAGGAGATGAACTCTGAGCTCAACGAAACTGAATGATCTGGGCGATTTTAAAAACTCCATGTTAAGGCTTTCCCGGTCCTCTGCAAAGCGAAAGTGGGCTGTGACCATTTTCTAAGTACGCCAAGAAAATACGAAATGGAGCCCGGGATTTCAGAGCTCGATCCCCTGCCTTCCATTCACTAACGAGGTGACGAGATCCCGGAACCTGGGCTTAGAAGGCTCCGACCCGCCTCCTCCGGCCTCGGGCGGACGACCCCCGGAGACACGGCGCGGAGCGGCCCGGCCCCCGGGAGCGCGGCTCGGGAAGGCCCGGCACCCGCTCTCCGCGGTCCTAAGCAGCACCCTCGCAACCAGCCGCGAGCGTCACCCAGGGGCGCGCCGCCCGGGCCCCGTCCGCTGCGCGCTCGAGGCAGCCCATCTCGCCGGCGGAGGGTGCGGGACCCCGCCCCGACGCTGGGAGCTTGGGGACCCCAAAGGACCGTCCGCTCAATCGGGCGGCAGCCGCGACGCTCTAGCCACTGGAAGCCCCACCCCCCGCGGTCGCGCCCTTCGCAGGCTCCGCCTCTTCCCCTCCGACCGCCGCCCCGCCCCGCTCCGCGAACCCAAACACCGGGCTCGCACTGCGCGTGGCCGCGCGTGATCGCCGGCGCAGCGGAGCCCTGTGCGCCTGTGCCTGCGCCGCCCGCCCCAGGCCCTGGCCTCGGCCGAGCGATGCTGCTGCTGGCTGCCGCCTTCCTCGTGGCGTTCGTGCTGCTGCTCTACATGGTGTCTCCGCTCATCAGCCCCAAGCCCCTCGCCCTGCCCGGGGCGCATGTGGTGGTGAGTGGCCTCCTGTTGCTGCGCCGCCGCCTCCCGGCCCGCTCGGTCGCCCCGAACCCCGGCGCGCCGGTCCGCGACTCAGGCCGGGCCGCCGACGTCCCCTTCTCCAAATGGAGGGTCATTTGCCGCCCTCCGCCCCGGCACTGTCTGTTCGGAGGGCCTCGGGGACCCGCCCTCCGCTGCCTCTGGCTCCTCCCGGGGCCGGAGAGCGGGGCGGCGCGGGCAGCGCCAGCGAGCTGGGTCCCCGCACTGCAGGGGCTCGGGAAGCTCGTTAATCCCCGGGGCATCCCTGGGATCTGGATATTTTTGTCCTCGGGTTTCCCGATAAGTCAGCTGAAGAACAGAGAGGCCGAGAAACTTTGCCAAGGACACCGCGGTCGGTGGCGACGCCGGGCGAGGCGCGCGGTCCCGGCGGGGTCGCAAGGAGGCGGGCAGCGGGGAACCGGGTCCCAGCCTCCAGGACCCGCCGAGGCAGCTGGGAACTGGAAGGTGGCCTGTGCGAGTGACAGTTGCCAAAGGAATACAGGAAATGATTCACCTGACGGGGGCGGCGGGATTGCTCTAAACCCGGTGGGCTGGCAGTCCTGGCTAGCGGTGTTGGGTCGCTTCTGTCCAGTCTACACTGCCTGTCTCTTGTGAGCTCAGCCTGGGGTCGACTGACTGCTGTCCCAGTGCAATCCTCTGCCGTCGTTTTGGAGTCAGAGGGATGAGCCGAACGACCTGGCTAGTTAGTGCTTTAGGAATGAAGGGGATGTGGATGGATTTGGTTTGTTTCTTACCAGAAGCTCATGTCTTCAAGGATCCCTTTTCTGCAGATGGGGCACCTTTCTGAAACAGAGGGAATGCCTTCTTACCTGCGCCCAGCACGTCACATTTTGCAGTGGCTTTCTGGTCCGTTTTCTTACTTGATTTTCTCACAACCCCGGGGACATTGAGGCGGGAGGTTATGAATAAGCAAAATTAGTTACTAAGCTGGCAGTGCAAATCCTCCTGGTGCCAGAGGTGACATATGGGTGTCTCCGCTAAAATCCGATCCTCTTTACTGAACTGGGATGGGATGGAATGGTCATTGCTTTTAGTGTGCTTTAAATCGGGACAGAGTTTGTGAATGGGAACATACATTTTCTTTAATTTCTCTCATAAAACTATTAGTGTTTTTCCAAATCCTGCTATTTCTGATGTGGAAGATAGAGGAGGAGGTGAGTGTAAATTCATTAGAGAGGGAGAGAAGAGCAAAATTTTACAATCATGCTAAAGCCTGAAAGTGTCACATCTGCAAGAAGACTTCTGCCTCAAAAGCGTGGCTTTAAAAGTTGGAATTTTCAGAAGTGGTGTTTGCAGAGCATAACTTGTAAAAATGTAAAGTCAAAGCAGTAATGAAAAATTTGATTCAGTGTTTATAAGGGACTTTCAGTTGATGTTGACTCTGGTCCTACCAGCCCCATCATGCTTCTGCAGGCTGTAGATAAGATAATAAACACATCTCCTGGGGTAGATCCCGAAGAACTTCTTATTTTCACCATCCCGTTTTAATATGCCACTATAAATAATGTGAGGATGACATGAATAATTCACATGATGTCACCATCTGTCTTCTTTTTTAATGTCATAAAAAGATGAAAGTGTAATTTTTTTTCTTGACATTTGTTACGACTAGACCCAGTCGTGTTAGAAAAGGGGCCAGTGTTTAGAATGTCTTGCTGATGGGGAAGCATGAGCAGGTGTAGGTCATAACTTGCTTTGTTTTTAGAGCAATTCTGATAAACTAGTGTTATCTCTCTAATTACAGTGGTAAACCTATTCAGCAAGTCTTACACAGTATATACTTATTTAAATCAGCTGTTTTTTTTTTTTGTTTAAGCTGTTTAACTGACTTGGTGAGAACTAGAAAATCAAGTCCTCCCTTTTGGAGAGATGGGTGGGAGCAGCTGTCCTTGCAGCAAAGCACCCCTTCTCTTGCCCTCAGTAAGAGGTATATGGTGCGAAAAAAGAGATAGTAACATTTAAAACAATATTTGCAATGAACAGTAAGAGGGAGTGACAAAGAAAGGAATTAAACTGTTATCTTTAGGGTCTCACATCTCAATTTACCAATGGCCAGGCAACTCAATACATATTTACCATTTTTCTCAGCCATTAGGAAAATCTCTTATGTTTTCTTATACCATTCAAGAGTAACATAGTCTAGATGGACTTATGTATATTCTTAGATACCTTTTATGAATTAGCTGGCTTGGCCTAGAAGGTCAGTTTCCCATGAACCCTGACCCAAAAGTTGAAGTCTTTTTCTTGTTTTTATGGACAAATCTTATAAGGTTAACCCAGTCCTTTGCTGTGCAGTAATTTTACGTAGCTTGCTTACCTATTACGGTCTAGAAGAAAAGCCAGCAATAATCAGAATAGGTAGCATCTACGTGGCACTTTAGAGCATATAAATTTTCTCAATAACCTCATCACTTCAGCTTCTATCAATTCATTGAATAAAAAATAGTGAAATTTTACTTACAAGTTTTTTTTGGCATTGTATTTTTTTTCAGGGAAATGGCATCGTACACCATTTTGCAAATTAATGTAGACAAGTATTTAGCAACTGCTTATGCAAAGTGCTGTGCTAGGAATGAGGGAGATAACTTGGACTTGGTGCTTGTTGTCAGGGAACTTAGAGTCTGGTAAGGGAGCTAAGGCAGGTACAGAAGTAACTGCATGAGGTAGAAAGTGACAGGCAAAGGACAGGACAGAGGGACAGAGTCCGGAAAAAATTCTTGGAGGAGGAGACATTGGAACTGGCCTCTGCGAGTTAGGTAGGATTTGGAAATGCAGCTGTGTGGGAGATGTTGAGTGGAGGGACCTCTAGGCAGCAGGAACAACATCATGAAACAGCTAAGGACATTTTTAGGGACCTTGCTAATTGCTATGGAATTGGAATATCTGGTGAAAATTAATAAGCCAAAACTACCCATGAAATATTTCAATAGCAGAGAGGTCCTCAGAGGCAACTGTTAGCTGGGGCAGCAGGTATATTTTTACAGTAACCAGTAGATAATTGGTTAATTTTCCCAAAGAAATCCCTTCATTAGTGAGAAGTTGAGGCTCAAGAGAAAGTAGGGGCATCCCATGGACATAGGTACATTGTGTAGGAGGATGTCATGATGATTTTAAAATCATGAGATCGATTGGTCAGAGATATTCTTTACAGCATGATTTATATTTAACAGTAAAATATTCGAAATAATCTAAATGTCTAACAATAGGGAAATAGTTAAATATTTTTTGATACGGCTGTTTAATGCAATATTGTAAAGCCTTTTAGTTTTTTAACCTCAGACATTACAAAATAATGTTTTTTAGAGTAGGATGCAAAAGCATGTAAGGACAGATGCCTCTCTGACACTTGCTTTCCCCCCTCACCTGACAACTCCAGGCCCCCCACTCCCCTGGCCCATGTTATAAGATGTGTATAGGGAAAAATGACTAGAAAGGTAATGTTACATTCGTATTATTAAATAAAATATATATTGAGTCCTTCCTGTATGCCAGGCACTATACTAAGCGCTAGGGATACAGTGGGGAGCCAAAATAGAGTTGGTATTTTTATGGAGTTTATGGGGTGGTAATGGAAGAGATGGTTGTGAATCAAATAATCACACAAGTAAATGCATGGCTGTTTGGTTATGGAGTGATGTAAAGCAAAGAAAAAAAAGGATGCAATGCTGCAAAGTGGGTTGCGGTGGGGTAGAGGGCAGTCCATGAAGGCTTTCCTGAGGTAGTGGGGTAGAGCTGAGATTTAATGGGTGAATCGATGCCAGTTAGATGAAAAGAGGGGAGGAGAGCATTCCTGGAAGGGAAAATAGGATGTGCAAAGGCCCTGTGGTTGGAGAGAGCATAGAACCAAAAGACGGCCAGTATGGCTGAGCTATAGATGGTGAGGGTTAGACTAGTGCAAGAAGAAAAGCTTTACTTTTCAGTATTTCCATGTGATCATTTATTACTTTATAATAAGCAGTCATTTAAAATATCATAAGTATATGCAAGTGATTATTCTTTTCATCTTCTGTAGAGCTGGTCATGCATAGGAGATGTGTAGTAAAGAAATGGTTCATTTGGGTTTGGACTCAAAGGCAGACTAGTGTTTTTTATTTTTACTTTTTAATTTATTTTATTGAAGTATAGTTGACTTACGATGTTAATTTCTGCTGTACAGCAAAATTTTTCATGTTTTTTTCCATTACAGTTTATCACAGAATATTGAATATAGTTCCCGGTGCCCTACAGTAGGGCCTTCTTGTTTATTCATTCTGTATATAATAGTTTGCACCTGCTAATCCCAAACTCCCAATCCATTCCTTCCCCACCCCCCTCCCCCTTGGCAACCACAGGTCTATTCTCTGTGTTTGTGAGTCAGTTTCTGTTTCATAGATAAGTTCACTTGTGTCATATTTTAGATTCCACATATAGCGATATCATATGATATTTGTCTTTCTCTGTCTGGCTTACTTCACTCTGTATGATAATCTCTGCATCCATCCATGTTGCTGCAAATGGCATTCTTTCTTTATTTTTTATGGCTGAGTAGTATTCCACTGTATATACATACCACATCTTTATCCATTCATGGATGTTTAGGTTGTTTCCGTGTCTTGGCTATTGTAAATAGTGCTGCTGTGAACATAGGGGTGCATGTGTCTTTTCGAATTATCAGACTAATGTACTGTTTATTACCTAGATGTACAGGGCACTTCCCCCTCTCGTCCCCACCCCCACCCCCCTGCCACAGTGAACTCAGAAAAATATCATAGGTGTGCAATTGATAGCTCAGTACTGGAAACAATGCAGGCCTGGCTGACGGTGTAATCTTTCCATGTTTGCACTTAAACTCCATTCATTAGGTCTGGGATGAAGATGCTACAATAGCTGAAGATTTAGTTCCTGTAGGTTGGGTTTTAGAGCCCATCATAGTTATTTTAAATAAACTTCCCACAGAAGGGAAATTTCAAGTGCTAAGATTTCTTAATTTCTGCTTTTAGGTTACAGGAGGCTCCAGTGGCATCGGAAAGTGCATTGCTATCGAGTGCTATAAACAAGGAGCTTTTATAACTCTGGTTGCACGAAATGAGGTAAGTCTTCTAGGTTCATTACTCTTCACCTACTAATTCATCGTTACATTAGTCACAGAGGCTATGCGACCGTCACAGTGTTCACACCTGTGGGGAAATCGCCCACGTCTGTGGCTGGAGGTGTGATTCCTGAACCACTGGTTATTTCTTGTATTTGGGACAAAGACTTCTTGGCTGAAGTCAGGTTAGTTCCACAGATATTTTTTCAGTGCCAGCAACTCTTAGGCAACATCATGGACACTGCAGATCTAGGAGCGGCCAAAACCTAGTTAAGCACACACCTGGCCACAGGAAGCGGGGGGGCCGCCACCTCCCCAGAGGTGCCGACAGCAGCCATCGTGGGGCTGGTTCCTGAGTCCTGAAGGATGACGTGTAGGTGTTTCTCTATAATTTGCTTATGACATGATCTCCATCTCTAGTGAAACCCAGACCCTGCAGGGGAATCTCACTCTTCCCCAGAGCTTTAGCAAAACATGTGTCTTTCTGTGCCGAGTCAACACAAGGTCTGTTTTTCTTTCTTTCTTTTATTATTATTATTTTTTAAGTGTCTGTTATTCTTGCCAGAGCCCAGAGCAGTGACACTGTATTCCCTTGAGCAGTCATGGCATCCCCTTGCTCTATGGGCGGGGAAAGGACCACGGCTGTCCTGCCCAGTGCTGTCATTCTGTGCTTGGCCTAATTGCTTGGGTCATAGTGGGTGCTCCAGACATCTTTGTTGGATGAAGAAATGAAGGGAGGGATGATGGAGAGAGTGGGCGCTCCAGGGTGGCATCGTTGATTGGGGATTTTAGCTTCACCTGTGAATAAGGAGGGCGGTAGTGTGGTGGCTGCCAGGTAGGGGTGCACAGCTGTGCAGGGCCCAGTGAGGATGGCAGGTCACCGGGGGCCCGGGGGAGATGCGTAAATAATGACACAGAATTAGGCTTGGGCGTCCATCATTTCTTTTAAAAATGAAGAAAGGCAGAATTAGCTACCTTTTATTTATCCCCTGACCCCTCCAACAACGCATCTGCTTTGGCATTGAAGCCACCTTCCATGACTTAAAACACGACTGTGATAAAATGGCATTTTGTGAGATTTAAACAATGCTGATATTTGACAAAAGGCAGATGAAAAACGAGGCAGGGAGGCCAGCATTTCAGGTGCTCAGAAGCTCATTCTGTGGTCCTGGCATTGCTGGAGGTGAATGAGCCTTCTGGCACTGATAAAGTCTTTATTTTCTAATGTAATTTTCTATTCTGATTTTGGCAAAGTCAGGTGGTATACATTTTTATTAATAGAATAATATAATTTTATTATAGGCACATTCTTGTTTAGAAAACCCACTTGTCTTTCAGAAGGATTCCCCCCTCTTGTTCTTCTCTGCTATCATGATGTATTTAAATTTCAGCTTTTATAGCAAATTAAGGCACTGTAAACATATCTCTGTCTTCTTGAAAATGACTAAAACAAGCAGAATTGAGACCTTGGAAGAATTACACAATTACATGGGTTAGCTTTGCTTGTCCTCAGAGTATCTTTGAAAGTATCCAGGCATAGGTTTACCTAGTCCGTCTAAAAACTGATTTTGACTATATTTGCTTTTCAGTAGAGGAGGAAAACATTGGACGATCTCGTAGGAAAGCATTCTTGACATGGAATCACATGTACCCTTAAGTTTGGGAAGCACTGCATATCAGCATGGTTGTTCTTGTTTCATATCTAAGTAACGTCAAATTAAAACATTTATTAGAATTGATAGGGTGACCCTTAGCAATTAATACTGATAATAGGGATTTTGAGGTTCATTAATTTTTATTATTATCTTTCTCTGCAGTGGATTTTAAAACTTGCTTTCACTTAGCCATAGCTTAGCATACTTTACAGCTACGTGTCCACCATAGCTCTGCAATATGGGTGCTGTCCTGTGTGTTTTTTGGCATTTAATAAATCCTTGTACAACTAATTGCTTTTTCTCTCCTTTTAAACAAACAAGTGGACAAATAGACAATCAGTAGAACTAATTGTTCTCTGTTACTTTCAGGACAAACTGTTGCAGGCAAAGAAAGAAATCGAAAAACACTCTGTTAATGATAAACAGGTAAAAATCACTGCCCTCATGACGCATTTTCTATACTAATCAACACAGGTGTGCAGAGGAAAAGAAGAGGTGCTTCAACTGTGAATAGTTCATTGAAAGCACGTAAGCTTTTCCTAACTAAAATACATATTAGGCTGTCTTTAAAAAGATGAAATTATTTGAATTGTCTAGGATTTCATGTTATTACCAAAAACAATGTATAGACTCTAACACACATACACACACAAATGATCAAATAACAGAATGCTTTCCTAGAAAATGATTTCATTTTAATTATTTATTTAAATTAACTTAAGGGGAAGGAGGTATTAAATTTTTTTTTTTTTGGTTGTGGAATTTTTTGATGAATAAAATGGTATGTATATATATACAATATGTATTTTAGTATAAAACATAATAATAGATAGCCACGCACTCATCACCAGCTTAAGAAATGGCATTTACCAGGGCCCCTGAAGGCTCCTCTGTTCCCCCCATCAGCCTCATCTTCCTGTCTCATTCCTAGAGGCAACCCCCAACTTGATTTTTGTGTTACTTCTTCCATTGCTCTTTAAAAATAATTTGACCATAAATGCATGTGACACTAAGAAGAGTATTGTTTACTTCTGCTTCTTTTTGAACTTTATGGCATCATTCTTATTTTGATAGCTTTATTGTGATATAATTCACATACCATAAAATTCACTGATTTAAAGGTGTACAATTCAGTGGTTTTTAGCTTATCCACAAAGTTGCACAGTTATCACCAGAATCAATTGTAGAATACTTTCATCATCCCATAAAGAAAGTCCATATTCATTAACAGTCACTCCTTGTTCTCTCCCAACCCCCTCCTAGCCCTAGGCAATCTCTAACCTACTTCTCTCTCTAGGTTTATATGACGTCATTCTTTGTGTACTCTCATGCAACTTTATTTCTTCACCTGATACTATTGTTCAAATTCCTCTCTGTTGCTGCATAAAGTAGTAGTTCATTCTTTTTTTTTTTTTTTTTTTTCCTGCTGTCTAGTGTTTTCTTGTATGTATAGACTACCTTCCATTCATCAGTTCTACTGTTGGGTGGATACTTAGGTTGTTTCCAGTTTTTTTGTTAGCTTGCTTTGTTTCTTGCTATTACTAAAGTTTATCCCTTTGTGCACTTGTGCAAGGATGGAATATACCTAGAAATGGAATTGCTGAGTTGAGCGTATGCATCACCAAAGTGTTTACACTCTCACCAGTAGTGGTCGTTGACTCTGTCAACACTTGGTATTGGCAGACTTTCTAATTTTTGCCTTTCTGATGAGTTTTAAATGATGTTTCACTGTAGTTTTAATTGCCTCTTTTCTTTCCACGAGAATATATTAGAGAACTTTGCATGCCAATATAAATGAGTCGGCCTCATCCTTTAAAACTGCTGTGGCATAATATTGAGTACCCCAGAGTTTATGTAATCTGTTGCCCCTTGTTGGCTATTTGTATTTTTTTTTCTTTTGCATTCTATGCTGCACATAAAAATCCTCATCCACCTCTCTTTGTGCACCTATGTGAGTTTTTCTCTAGTACCGTGGCCTCTGTCTGTATCTCCTCTGAAGCCCACAAACATTAGAAAGCTGCCAGCTCAGCAAATCTCCCCAGTTTTTTGTTTTTTTAAATATCCCTGTAACTTCTGATAGAGAATGAAACATCATCCAGAGCCACAGATCTGAAATGTCCTGGCTGAAGGCCAGTCACGCCTGCTGCTAGCACCATCTCTGCTCTGGGCTTCTTCGTCATTATCCCCACTCCTTCATCTATCAGGAGGCTTCAGGTCATGTGGAAAGTTCTTGACTTGCACATCAAGGAAGGCGAAGATCATCCGGGCTGGGCTGGGCAAGCGGGAGCCTGATCCTGCCACTGGGCCCAGAGCTGGCTTGTTACTCCTCTTAGCAAAAGCAGTGCCCTGGGGGCATTCTTTTTCCTGGGAGTTTGTAAACATTTTTTTTGAAATGTTACTGACCTGTGGTATAGGTTTTATTCACAGTAAATGATCTAATACCGTATGAAAAGGCATGTTTAAAATTAATTGTATGATTCCTACTCTTTTTTTTAAAACATGTCTTCTGTATGATGATGGGATAAAATTCAAGGACAAGCCCACTAGTCTGGAATATTCCAGGTTACATTTGCGAAGGGGCTTGTTTCCTTTTTATAGGAATTTAGACCATTAGGATGGGGTTCCTTCTTGCATTAAATACAACTTCCTGCCTGATGTTATCAGTCCTAAGGCAACTGGGCTCTTTTTATCCAACCCTTTGGCCTTACTTCTCACATCGTGGCTTCTTAGAGCTGGAAGGGATCTTGCTCGTCACTAGCCTGTGACACTGTTACTGTACAGGTGAGACCACTGCAAACGTCTTGGGTTCCACTCAGCTGGTGAATGAAGGGACAGGATTGGAACCCCGGCTTCCCCAGTGCCGTGCCTGTTCTTCCCACCACATCACACAGCCTTGGACTTGCAACTGCACCTGGGTGCATATCGTGGGTGTGTGCACCCTTCTGTACACACACGCTTTGTCTTCCTCTTGGCTTGGCGGCCAGTCTCAACAGGGAGGAAACCGTGGAAAGGCTGAGAAACTGCAAACACCCTTCTGCTTCTCTCAGTGACCTCCCTGGGAACATAGAACATTTCCTATGTCAGAGGCCTAAGCTCTGATTTGAAAACATTGTCTGAAAAGGAAAGTTAAAACAGTAGCTTGGGCTTCCCTGGTGGCGCAGTGGTTGAGAGTCCGCCTGCCGATGCAGGGGACACGGGTTCGTGCTCCGGTCCGGGAAGATCCCACGTACCGTGGAGCGGCTGGGCCCGTGACCCGTGGCCGCTGGGCCTGCGCGTCTGGAGCCTGTGCTCCGCAACGGGAGAGGCCACAACAGTAAGAGGCCCGTGTACCGCAAAAAACAAAAAAACCCAAAAAAACAAAAAACAGTAGCTCACTGTCCCCATTAGTGTTCTTAATTTCTGTTTCATAAATTTCTATCAAAGTAAGCACCGAGGGACTCCCCTGGTGGTCCAGTGGCTGAGACTCCACACTCCCAATGCAGGGGGCCCGGGTGGCATGTGGGATCTTCCCGGACCGGGGCACGAACCTGTGTCCCCTGCATCGGCAGGCGGACTCCCAACCACTGTGCCACCAGGGAAGCCCTTTACATTTGTTTTTACTGTCCTCATCTGATTATCAGTATTATACTGGCCCCATGAATGAGTTAAGGAATATGTTTTTTTGTTTTTAAAATATCTTTTAGATCTTACATAAGATGGGAATCATCTTTCCTTGAAAGCTGGTAAAACTTACTTGTACATATTCCTCTGGTTCTCTTTTCTTCCATTATGGGAAGATTGTAAACTACTTCCATTGCTTTATACTTATAAGCAAGTCTGGCTTCTGGCTAAAATTCTTTCTTTCTTCCTTCGTCCTTCCCTCCCTCCCTCCCTCCCTTCCCTCCCTCTCTCCCTCCCTTCCTTCCTTTTCAAAGACTAAATGGCTGAGCTCTTCCCACCATCCCTCTGTGCTGTGCATCCCTAAACATGGCCAGGTTTGTACTAGGTGGGCTTGGACTCAGCTTGGTGACCTCTCATCTAGAAAATCTGTAAATGGCAGTTCAGTCCAGAGTCAGGGACCTCAAGCAAACCTCAGAGTGAACCAAATGTGACTTGGTTTCCCCTCAGCTCCCACAGACCCAGATCTGCCCTTGGCCTAGTAAGATGATTCCACCAGCTTAGCCTCCCAGCCCGGCTGGACTAAGGAGGCTTCTGGGAGTAGATCCTTTTGACTTATCTCTTTATTCCACCTACTGGTACTGAATCGCAAGAGGGCAGTGATAGCTCTGATACTGCTCCAGGAGGAGTATTTTTTTAAACGTATTTATTAAGTTTGCTATTTTTTTTGACCACTTTATTGAGGTAGGATTTGTGTACAATAAACCACACCAATTTAAAGAGTTCAGTTGGATGGCTTTTGACTGATGTATCACTAAATGCTTGTGAAACCACCCCTGAAATCCAGACACAGAGCATTTCCATCACCCCTGGAGTTTGCCCTGCCCCTCTGCACCCCGTTTCTCCCTCTCTTCCTGGGTGCACGTGGCTTGTGATGTACTTCCTGTCACTATAGGTTAGTTGCGTTTTAAGAGGAGAGTTTTTACATTTCTTTTCTCTTTCTAGCTTTAGTGAGGCATACATAGACAAAAATTGTGTGTATTTAAGGTCTGCAACATGACGATTTAATATATGTTTACACTGTGTAATAATGACCGCAAACAAGTGGATTAACATGGCCAACAATACCTCACGTAGTTACCGCTTTTGTGTGTGTGGTGAAAACACTTCAGGTCTACTCTCTTAGCAGATTACAAGTCTACGGTACAGTATTAATAACAATAGTCACTACGCTGGGCATTTGATCCCCAGAACTTATCATCTTCCACCTGAAAGTCTGTACCCTCCAACCAGCATTTCTTAGAACATTCTTTTGAGTTTGCTCAAAAGAGTTTTCTTCAAGAAAGTGCATCCTCGACCCCATTTGTCTCTCCGAATTGCATTGTCAGCAGATTTCAAACTCTGCAATCTGTACCTCCAAAACTGGACTCCTTCTCTATTGGAAAAAAATTGCCTTTAATTAAAAAAAAAAAAATTCTTTTAAAGGTGGTTTCAGACCCCTGCATAGCTTTGATTATTTTTTTCTCTGTTTAACAGGTGGTGCTTTGTATATCAGTTGATGTATCTCAAGACTACAGCCAAGTAGAGAATGTCATAAAACAAGTAAGAGGTTGGGTTAATTGGAATTAATCGCTCGCCTTTCGATTGATTTGCCATTTTGGTGTGTGGCTTGGAGTTGACGTATCTTCCTTGTAGATTTAATAGTTTTATAGATTTTATTTATTGGCATTGATTGGCTACTAAGGGATTCTTTTTTTCTCTTTCTTAATGCCCACTCTGATAAATTTTTCCAGGCACAGGAGAAACTGGGCCCAGTGGACATGCTTGTAAACTGTGCAGGAATGTCACTTGCAGGAAAATTTGAAGATCTTGAAGTTAGTACTTTTGAAGTAAGTAAAAATTTGTTTTTTCCTCATTGGGGTAGCCCATGCACTAAAAGGGATTCCTGGCTAAAGGCTTTATGAATGAAATAGGTGAAATGCGTTCAGATTTAACAGAAGCTTTAGAAAACTAGAGGATGGACAAGATTTTAGTCACAGTGACCATCCAGCCTTAGAAGTTTAGACAAGTCTCTGGACCTTGGTTTCCTCAGCTGTAAAATGGGAATGAAACCTCCAACCTGACACAGATTACTGCGTTGATTCACTGAGGTCGTATCATCAAGAGAGCTCTTTGTATGCCAAGAGAGGCTGGATTTTCTTGTCAAGTATCTGTTTTTAACAATGAAAACCCAAAAAAGGTGAAGAGCAGACTCTAGAGTTTTGAAACCAAGAGACAAAGATAATGCCTCACATTCATATTTACGTTTTTAAAAAGGTCAGCCAAAGAAACGCACATCAGATTTGAAGGCTTTCTTAGGTGCAAAACGTGTTTTTCTTTTGTTGACATTGCATCAACCATCTCTTTCTTACTGGTCTCTAGAGGCTTCCTGCTAGCCATGGGTTTTGAATGATTTGCTCTGTGAAGCTAAAATGCATCCCCCTCGGGGCTTCGCTGGTGGCGCAGTGGTTGGGAGTCCGCCTGCCGATGCGGGGGACACGGGTTCGTGCCCCGGTCTGGGAGGATCCCACCTGCCGCAGAGCGGCTGGGCCCGTGAGCCGTGGCCGCTGAGCCTGCGCGTCCGGAGCCTGTGCTCCGCGACGGGAGAGGCCACGGCAGTGAGAGGCCCGCGCGCCGAAAAAAAAAAAAGGGCCGAAAATGCATCTCCCTCTTATGGAAGAGGATATACTCCAAAAGCAGCAGTTTAGACTTCTTGCTTCTGGCGGACTGGGGGAAAGCACCGTAAACTCTGTGATTAGGCGAGCTAGGCGAGTCCAGATGGAGAGGGAAGCAGAGGGATGCCGTAGCGGGGACTCCAGTGTCTTAAGGCTCCTTTATCAACTTGGCATAAAAGATAATTGTCTTGACCTGTATGCCTTTATCTCTAAGTATTGACAGGGAGATTTTGAAGATTTTCTCAACAGCTGTGTAACAGATCAGTTGTGGGAAATAGTTGTAGTCTAGGTATGAAATGATGGGGGAAAGACTTCAGAGGTGGCCAGCAAAAGAGGAGTATGTGTGCGTGCATGCATGTGTGTGCGCGTGCATGCGTGTGTGTGTGAAAGATGATATAAAGGGAGAATCAGCAGACTCACCTTGACCGGCTGTGGACGGCAAAGAGGATCGAGGTGTAAGTAGTTATGTGGCTGTAATAAATAAATGCATAGTTGTAAAGCTAAGACCTCAGGAAGCAGGGTGTGTCCAGGGACAGAAGGTGGGGGAGGGATTGTTTCCATCTGTGTGTCTGATGGAAGTGCGAAGGTAATGGAGTGAATGATTTGTGGGGATTTATAACTGAGAAGAATAGAAGGAACTAAGAGTATAAGACCGGGTGACTGTGTGGGACTTCCCTGGCGGTCCAGTAGTTAAGACTCCGCGTTTCCACTGCAGGGGGTGCGGGTTCGATCCCTGGTCAGGGAACTAAGATCCTGCGTGCCACTCGGTATGGCCAAAAAAATGACCAGGTGACTGTGTGTGGGTATCAATGACAAGGAGAAAACGTGAACAGGTGAGATGAAGGAAGAAGTAAAATACATGTATAGAATATGAAGCATGCTGAAATATTTTTAAAAAAGCACAACTCTAATCTTTTTTTAAAAACTCACTTTATTCTCAACCTTCAGTCTCCATCACACTATCTTTTTCCTTCTGTCTGTCTGTCTCTCATTCTCTCTTACCTTCGTTTAGAAAAACAATCGATTTCTTTCCCACCCACACCAGTACCCACGCACACAGACTATTTGTTGCTCTGTCCCCAGCAGCATGGGATAGTAGGAAAAAAGCTGGCCTTTGGCATCAGACTAAACCAGTTTTAAATCTTAGCACAACTGGTTTCAAGTCTAACCACTTACTAACTGTGGTCTCAGGCAAACCGTTCTTTTTCCTTCTGGCCTCAGGTTTTTCTCCATCCTCAGCCTCCATCTCTGTGAATGGGACGTACGACTCCCAGGGCTATGAGGATAAAGTAGCATAATTGGGTGCATAATGCTCAGCTCAGGGTAGCTGTGTGTAAATATTAATGTCCTTTGTCTTTTATTCGTTCAACCCACAAATATTCGAGAAAGCCTCTAGTGAATCGAGTGTCATTCTAGGGCCGGGGGATGCTGTGGTGAGCGAGAGAATAAAGCCTTGGCCCAGCTAAGGCGGGACAGACCAGGCAGGATCCAGCGGATGAGCAGTGTGATTACAGATGCGCTAAGTATTGATACTCGGAGGAAAGGAAATGGGAAAGGAAAAGAGGCTCTTTTCCACAGTGTGGAAGGTGACCAGAAGGGCAGGTGCAGAGGCACCAAGGAGATCCAGTCCGGAGAGCCAGTGGCTGCAGGGGCCCCGAGGTGGAAAGAGCGGGCAAGCTGCAGGAGCTTGACTAGGAGGCCAGGAGGCCAGAGCTTCCTGAGCCCTGGGCATGTGGGGTGGGGCCACTTTAGATTTCAGTTGAAAACCTCTGAAGGGGTTTAAGCCAGGCTAGAGAGTAGTGATATCTGCATCGCAGCTTTTAGAGGCTCTTTCTGCCTGCTGTGTCAGGAGACTTTTAGGACTGTCAGGGTGATTAAGACAGGGGTTGGTGATGTTGGGAAGTGGATGGAGGTGCCGGCGTGGGTCACCGTGGAGTGAGGGCGGTGAGAACAGAGGTCAGCATGGTGCAGGGGCTTAAGCAGCTGACAGGGGATGTTGGAATTGGCCTCACCTCCGAAAGGACTGGGCTTTAAAGAGGAAGGCTGGTTAACCCCAAACCTGTTGCTCTATTCCAGTGACAGGGCCTCATTCCAGGGATGGTTTGCTGTGGGCCCCGCCGTCTCTGGCCATTGCCCCTCTACCCCTGGCTGCCCTGAGAGGAGGCAGGAGGCCACTGTGCTGCAGAGGGCATCCCTTTCACAGGCCATCATGCGCCCCTCTGCTCTCTCCCACCTTGGTCTGGTCACTTGCCTTGTTCTGGTCAAGTCCAGGTGTGGGCTTATCACCGACACCCCCTGTTAGAACACACACTACCACGTTTGATGCATTTTCTGAAAATAAGAGTTCCTTTTTCTTTAAGATGAATTCTATCTCAATTATGTTCTTTGGTTTGTTTGGAATTTTTTTCATTTTAATTTTGCTGAAGTTCACATGCATGTAAATCGCAGGTACACAATAGTTTGTGCTGTCATGACTCATTGCCGGGGGACTTAAATTAAGCACGTCCTGTGTGGCTCCACAGGGAGAGGACTCGTGGAAATGTGCTCCTGGTTTCCTCTGGACTTTGGCCGGTGTGCCTTTTGCCCCGGCTGGTCTCGCTTTGTGTCCTTTCACTGTGATAAGCCTCAGTTGTGAGCACAGCTGTGTGCAGGGTCCCGTGAGACCTTCCAGAGAATCGCCCACACTGGAGGTGGTCTTGGGGAACACCAACACACTTCTCTTAATTTTCCTTTTCAGTGGTTTTCTCTGTGGGTTCTTGGAGCTGTATCTTGTTTTATCTACCTGTAGATATCAATGAGAGTTGTTTTTTTTTTTTATACACAATGTATTTATTTATTTATTTATTTATGGCTGTGCTGGGTCTTCATTTCTGTGCATGGGCTTTCTCTAGTTGTGGCAAGTGGGGGTCACTCTTCATTGCGGTGCGCAGGCCTCTCACTATCGCGGCCTCTGTTGTTGCGGAGCACAGGCTCCAGACGCGCAGGCTCAGTAATTGTGGCTCACGGGCCCAGTTGCTCCATGGCATGTGGGATCTTCCCAGACCAGGGCTCGAACCTGTGTCGTCTGCATTGGCAGGCAGATTCTCAACCACTGCGCCACCAGGGAAGCCCGAGAGTTGTTTTTGATTGGGATTACACTGCTGCTGTAGATCCATTTGGGGAGAACAGACATCTTAATAATGTTGAGTCTTCTAACCTTTATAACATAATATATGTCTCCATTTATTTAGCTTAAGTTTTCTTTAATCTCTCTCAGCAGTGTTTTGTAATTTTCAGCGTATGGGTCTTGCACGTTGTTTTTCAGTATTTCATGTTTTTTGATGTTAGTGTAAATGGTTTTTTTCATTTCAATTTCTGAGTGTTCATTGCTAATATAGAAAAATACAATTGATTTTTGTGTACTGATCGTGCAGTGTTGCTGAACTCAACTGTTAATTCTAGTGCTCACTGGACTTTCTACATCCAAGGTCGTGTCATCTGCAAGTGTTACTTCTTCCATTCCCATCTGGATACCCTTATTCCATGGGCTGGAACTTCCAGTACAGTGTTGAATAGAAGTTGGTGAAAGCAGACATTCTTGTCATGTTCCTGACCTTAGGGAGAAAGCACTCAGTCTTTTACTATTAAGTATGATGTTAGCTGTAGTTTGTTTTTGTTCTCTTTTTTAATTCTTTTTTTTGGCTGCACTGCACAGCTTACAGGATCTCAGTTCCCTGACCAGGGGTTGAACCCAGGGCCACAGCAGTGAAAGCCCGGAATGCTAACCACTAGGCCACCAAGGAACTCCCTGTTTTTTGTTTTTGGTAGATGCCCTTTATCAAGTTTAGTAGTTTATCCTAGTTTGCAGAGAGTTTTTATAAGGAATGAATGTTGAATTTTGTCAGATGCTTTTTCTGCATCTATTGGGATGATCATAGAGTTCTTTTTTAGTTTGTTAATACGGTGAATTACATTGACTAGTTTCCAAATGTTTCCAACCTTGCATTCCTGGGATAAACGCTGCTTGGTTGTGATTATTATTATCCTTTCTTTGTTCTTGAGGGAAATTAGTTGTACTGTTTAGTAATGTTATTTTGTGATTTTGTATAAGGGTCAGGGTGGCCTCATAGCATGAGTAGGGGAATATTCCCTCCTTTTCAATTCTCTGGAAGAATTTGTGTAGAATTGATTTATTCTTTTTTAAAGGTTTGGTAGAATTCACCAGTGAAGCCTGAGGTTTCCTTTATGGGAAGGTTTCTAACTTTAGTTTCTTTAACACATGAAGGCTACATCTATATCTTTTTATCTGTTTCTTTTGGAGTGACCTTTGGTAGCTTGTCTCTTTTAAGGAATTTGTCCATTTCGTCTACATCGTTGAATTGACAAAAGTTATTCATCATATTCCCTTATTATTATTTTAATATCGGTAGAGTTTGTAGTGATGTCATCTCTCTCATTTTTGATATTGATAATTTGTGTTCTTTCTCTTTCCTTCCAGTATGACTACAGATTTATCAATTTTGTTGATCTTCTCAACAACCAGCTTTTGGCTTTATTGATTTTTCTATTTTTTTTTCTATTTCATTTATTTCCTTTTATTTTTATTACTTTTTTTCCTGCTTACTTTTGTTTTAAGTTGCTCTTCTTTTTATAGTTTCTTTAGGCAGAAGCTGAGGTCATCCATTTAAGGCTTTTTCCCTTTTCTAACACAGATATTTAGTGCTGTGGATTTCCACCTAAGTTCTGCGTTAGCAGCATCCTACAAATTTTGATAAGTTGTATTTTCATTTTCATTCAGTTAAAAATATTGTATAATTTCCCTTTCCATTTTCACTTTGACCCTTGGATTATTTAGAAGTGTTACTTAGTTTTTAAATATTTGGGGGATTTTCCAGAAATCTTTCTCTTTTTGATTTCCAGTTGAATTCCATTGTGGTCAGCAAACATACTTTGTATGAGTTGAATCCTTTTGAATTTATTGAGACATGCTTTATAGCCCAGAATATAGTTTATCTTATAGCCATTCCCTGTGCACTTGAAAAGAATATATAGGGTCAGCCCCGCATATCCGAGGATACAGACAGCTGACTGTACCGTGCCATTTTATATGAGGGACTTGAGCATTTGCAGATTTTGGTATCGGGGCGGGGGGGGGGCCTGAAACCAATCGTCCATGGATACCGAGGGTTGGTGGTATTGTGCTGTTTTGGGTGGAGTGTTCGATCAGTGTTGATTAGGTCCAGTTGGCCGATAACATTGTTCAGGTCTTCTATCTCCTTACTGATTTGTGTCTGCTTGTTCTGTCAATTATTTTTTTTTTTTTAATTTTATTTTTTTCTTGCGTTATGCGGGCCTCTCACTGTCGTGGCCTCTCCCATTTGCGGAGCACAGGCTCCGGACGCGCAGGCTCAGTGGCCATGGCTCACGGGCCCAGCTGCTCCGCGGCATGTGGGATCTTCCCGAAATGGGGCACGAACCCGCGTCTCCTGCATCGGCAGGCGGACTCTCAAGCACTGCGCCACCAGGGAAGCCCTGTTCTGTCAATTATTGAAAGTGGGGTACTGAAATCTCTGATTATGATGGTGGGTGGGTTTGTCTATCTGACTTTTTTAAACAGACTCAGTCCACATTCCTGTCCTCCAGCCCCACGCCTGACCTCTTGCCCCCAGAGGTACTTGGTGCTGCATGAGCCTTTTGGGGCTTCTGTGGTTTAATCTTGCTTTTTAGTTTATCTTCTCCTCACCTCGCATTCAGCTTTCTGCCAGGTTAGTTCTCACTCATCATTCTTTTCAACTTCCGAAATGTCATTGCTGCTATTTTCTTTGCTCTTGCGGATTCTTGCCTTGAAAAAAATCTCTATTGAGATTTTAGTGGGGTCTCTGAAGGGAGCTAAGGTTTACACATGGGTTCAGTATGCCTTCTTTTTTTGTCAAACCAATATAATGATATTAAAAAACATTTGGGGGGAAAAAATGGGAATCCCAGAATCCTAACATAGTCACTTACAATTTTCTACATTTCTTTGGTTTTGTACCTGTGCACATGTACTTTTGTTTGATATTCAAAATAGTTGCAGTCACGGTGTAAATACTATCTGCCCTCTGCTTTTCTTTTTTTTTTTTTTTGCGGAGCGTGGGCCTCTCACTGTTGTGGCCTCTCCCGTTGCGGAGCACAGGCTCCGGACGCGCAGCCTCAGCGGCCATGGCTCACGGGCCCAGCCGCTCTGCGGCATGTGGGATCTTCCCGGACTGGGGCACGAACCCGCGTCCCCTGCATCGGCAGGCGGACTCTCAACCACTGCGCCACCAGGGAAGCCCTGCCCTTTGCTTTTTTTAAACTAAGTATTTCCCCCTGGCCTGCTGGTGTTTCTGGTCATTGTTTCTACAAGTTCCTTAATGCTGTTGAGTTAACATTTCGTGATGGACTTAAAGTTTCCCAGTGAAGTGTTTGGTTTCACATGGTGATAGATCTAGTACTTTTACAAGACTTTTAATATAGAAACATTGTAATGCAGTATCCTCAGACTTTCAGGTTGAAAATGTAAGGTTTTTAAGAGTTCCCAGGATGAAGGGAAAGTAGATCTTGGTGCCTCTGTGAGTTCTTACCCATCATAATATAAGAGCCGACATTTATTGAGTAATTGCTGCAGGTCAGGGGCTGTGCAGGCGCTTGCCTTGTGTTTCCTCTTTCAATCCTTGCTGCAGGCCTGTGAGATCACACCCACATTAACCCTGTCTTCACTGAGGAAATAAGTAGAGTGTCTGACTTTTCTGTTCATCATCAAATAGGCAGTAAATGGTAGAGCCCAGGCTTTACACCACAGTTGCTGCTGTCAACCCCGGTCCCTGTCTCTTTGTGGTCTTTCTGTCACTTAGAACTAGTAGGGCTGGAAATACTTAGAAGCTCTTTCCTCAAAACTGTTTCTTGGAAAGTGTTACCTGTAACGTGCAGTGTACTTTTTATAAGGAGAAGACTAATTTAGACCAGTCTTCAGCAAAGATGTAAGTGCTATCGTTGTGAGAATGTAAGGCTAGATTGAAATAGGCTCCCAGTGGTAGGTCCTGTGTGTCACGGTCATTTACAGGATCATTAGGCCTTCATTCGTTCAGCAGATCGGCTGAGCTTCCAGTCACTTAGGCTCCACTGACGAGCTCAGACTTGGTGAGAAGGCAGGATGCCCGTGGGATGCAGCCTTGGGGCACTGACCTTGCTTAGTTCTCGTGGCCTCTTTGTTCCCTGCAGAGATTAATGAGCGTCAACTACCTGGGCAGCGTGTACCCCAGCCGAGCGGTGATCACCACCATGAAGGAACGCCGCGTGGGCAGGATTGTCTTCGTGTCCTCCCAGGCGGGGCAGTTGGGCTTATTTGGTTTCACAGCCTACTCTTCGTCCAAGTTTGCCATCAGGGGATTGGCAGAAGCTTTGCAGATGGAGGTAAGAGCTGTCTTCAGTCAGCCCAGCAATATATGTTCCCCTTTAGTCTGTAACTTCCTTACACGTGTCATTGTATTAAATTAGAGATTTGTAGATTTGGCGTTAGTGAAGGAGAATTGACGCAACCCCTGAACTTTGCAGTTAACATGCTTTTCATTGCATAAAAATTTAATACACAGTTAGCACTACTAACATCTTCGTAGCATTACAGGCATACCTCAGAGATTTTGTGGGTTTGGTTCTGGATGCAATAAAGTGAATATCGCAATAAAGCGAGTCACATGAATTGTTTGGTTTCCCAGTGCATATAAAAGCCGTGTTTACACAGTACTGTGGTCCATTAAGAGTGCATAGCATTATGTCTAAAGAAACAATGTACATTCATTCCTTAATTAAAAAATACTTTATTGCTAAAAAACGTTAACCATCATCTGAGCCTTCAGTGAGTCTTAGTAATAACATCAAAGATCACTGATCTCAGATCACCATAACAAATATAATAATAATGAAGAAGTTTGCAATATTGGGAGAATTACCAAAATGTGTCTTAGAAACATGAAATGAGCAAATGCTGTTGGAAAAATGTTGCCAATAGACTTGCTCAGTGCAGGGTTGTCACAAAAGTTCAACTTGTAGAAAATGCAATATCTGTAAAGCGCAGTAAAGCAAAGCATAATAAAATGAGGTGTGCCTTTACTGGCCTAATACTGTGTGAGTATTTGTAAGATATTTTATTCTTTAACTTTTTGTTGTTGTTGTTCTTTAACATTTTTAAAGATACCCCTTTAACAAAAAGATCTGTCCTTTATGACTGACTAATAAAACTAACGTGTTTGAAGAAAGAGCTACTGTGTAGCTCTCAGTTTTTAGACAGATTCATTTAGCTTGATCTCAGTTTCCTTGTTTGTAAAAATGAGAAACTAAAAATTGCATTTGGCTTTCCTGATACTTATATTTTAATATCCTGAAGAAATATTGATGAATGTGAGTGCGCTTTATCTTCACAGTGAATAGAACATCTTGTGGAAGGAGGATGTGGTTAGGATTAGCATAAAATAAGCACTTGTCAGATGTGTATAACCTTCCTCCTCAGCTGCGTTGTCACATGGGGATGCTTGGAGAGCATCGCACGTATCTTTCCAAAATCACGTACTTTAAGGTAAAATTCTTTCTATTTCTATATACAGTTGACCTTGAACATCACAAGTTTGAACTGCGCAGGCCCACTTATTTGTGGATTTCTTTCAATAAAGACTGTAGTACCTCATGATCTGAGGTTGGTTGAATCCGTGGATGCAGCTCTGTGGGTACGGAGGGCCTCCTGGAAAGTTATACGTGGAATTCGATTGCGCAGGGCGTCGGCGCCTGTGACCTCCATGTTGTTCAAGGGTCAGCTGTATACTGAAATATAACACTACATCATGATGTTAAGAAGCCCACAGGAAACTTCGCTGTGACCAGTCCTCTTATAGTAAGAGTCTGATCTGAGAATCCCATTTAATGATTAAAATCAAGGGTGGATAAATTTTTTTCCTGTAAAGGTCCAGAGAGTAAATATTTTAGCCTTTGAGGGCTAGATGGTGCCTAATGCAGCTACTCACATCTCTTGGGATAGCAGGAAAGCAGCCTTGTGCAAGATTTAAATGAACGGGTGGGGCTATGTGCCAGTAAAAACACAGGCAAAGGGCCATAGCTTGCTGACCCCTGATTCAGAGAGCCCCCAGAAGAGCCCTTGATGGTACATGGCAGAGTGCCACGCTGCCCAGATATTGGATGAGCAATGCAGTGCAGACGTGTTCTTGGGTCAGTGACAGAATCCCGACCTGCCACTTAGGGACTGGTAGACTGTGCCGTTCTCATCCCAAAGGAACCAGCCACAAATTTCATTGTCATCAATGTCCTTGATACTCTTAATCAATAACAGGTCATTGTCATATATGCTTAGCCAATGGGGCACGTATGCCTGTGAAATTTCCAACAAGAACACAGGTATTTCTTTTGTAGTTTTTACTTTGAAAAGTCCCTTTATGAATAACCGTCTTATTTTTATAACAGTTTTGTGAAATATACGAGGCAGATGTTGTTATGCCACCTTCTAGATAATAAAACTGAGTCTTCAGTAAAGCCATTGGGTTGCTCAGAGCCACGTCATTACTCTGTGACAGAAATAGTAACAAAGTCCATGCCTTCTCGTTCTGCCTTTTGGCTCCCTGTCTGCCTCTGTAACGTGTCTATACTTCAGGTCAGGGGTTGCCTCACCACTTCACATCAGTCTCAGAAACCCAGTAGGAGAAGGGATAGTTTGGAATTGAAAGGTCTGTGCACGAGGGCTTTTTGTCCCCGAGTCTTGTCTTGCAGAACGACTTCAGGATTCACTCATTTAGGGCAGTGTATGATCCGGGCGGCCTGGTTTCCTTTTGGGTAGAAAGAAGATGTTAATAAAGCAGAGGGAAAAGACAGGAGCTGCTAGTCCAGACGAGTCCCTGAAGCCTCCTGATGACACGCGTGATTCACAGGCTGCAAGTGGCCGGTCTGGACTTGCTGGTCAGCTTGACTTCGCTCCGTACTTGAACTCCATTAAAAATGCCCGCTTGATCTCAGTTTCCTTGTTTGTAAAAATGAGAAACTAAAAATTGCATTTGGCTTTCCTGATACTTATATTTTAATATCCTGAAGAAATATTGATGAATGTGAGTGCGCTTTATCTTCACAGTGAATAGAACATCTTGTGGAAGGAGGATGTGGTTAGGATTAGCATAAAATAAGCACTTGTCAGATGTGTATAACCTTCCTCCTCAGCTGCGTTGTCACATGGGGATGCTTGGAGAGCATCGCACGTATCTTTCCAAAATCACGTACTTTAAGGTAAAATTCTTTCTATTTCTATATACAGTTGACCTTGAACATCACAAGTTTGAACTGCGCAGGCCCACTTATTTGTGGATTTCTTTCAATAAAGACTGTAGTACCTCATGATCTGAGGTTGGTTGAATCCGTGGATGCAGCTCTGTGGGTACGGAGGGCCTCCTGGAAAGTTATACGTGGAATTCGATTGCGCAGGGCGTCGGCGCCTGTGACCTCCATGTTGTTCAAGGGTCAGCTGTATACTGAAATATAACACTACATCATGATGTTAAGAAGCCCACAGGAAACTTCGCTGTGACCAGTCCTCTTATAGTAAGAGTCTGATCTGAGAATCCCATTTAATGATTAAAATCAAGGGTGGATAAATTTTTTTCCTGTAAAGGTCCAGAGAGTAAATATTTTAGCCTTTGAGGGCTAGATGGTGCCTAATGCAGCTACTCACATCTCTTGGGATAGCAGGAAAGCAGCCTTGTGCAAGATTTAAATGAACGGGTGGGGCTATGTGCCAGTAAAAACACAGGCAAAGGGCCATAGCTTGCTGACCCCTGATTCAGAGAGCCCCCAGAAGAGCCCTTGATGGTACATGGCAGAGTGCCACGCTGCCCAGATATTGGATGAGCAATGCAGTGCAGACGTGTTCTTGGGTCAGTGACAGAATCCCGACCTGCCACTTAGGGACTGGTAGACTGTGCCGTTCTCATCCCAAAGGAACCAGCCACAAATTTCATTGTCATCAATGTCCTTGATACTCTTAATCAATAACAGGTCATTGTCATATATGCTTAGCCAATGGGGCACGTATGCCTGTGAAATTTCCAACAAGAACACAGGTATTTCTTTTGTAGTTTTTACTTTGAAAAGTCCCTTTATGAATAACCGTCTTATTTTTATAACAGTTTTGTGAAATATACGAGGCAGATGTTGTTATGCCACCTTCTAGATAATAAAACTGAGTCTTCAGTAAAGCCATTGGGTTGCTCAGAGCCACGTCATTACTCTGTGACAGAAATAGTAACAAAGTCCATGCCTTCTCGTTCTGCCTTTTGGCTCCCTGTCTGCCTCTGTAACGTGTCTATACTTCAGGTCAGGGGTTGCCTCACCACTTCACATCAGTCTCAGAAACCCAGTAGGAGAAGGGATAGTTTGGAATTGAAAGGTCTGTGCACGAGGGCTTTTTGTCCCCGAGTCTTGTCTTGCAGAACGACTTCAGGATTCACTCATTTAGGGCAGTGTATGATCCGGGCGGCCTGGTTTCCTTTTGGGTAGAAAGAAGATGTTAATAAAGCAGAGGGAAAAGACAGGAGCTGCTAGTCCAGACGAGTCCCTGAAGCCTCCTGATGACACGCGTGATTCACAGGCTGCAAGTGGCCGGTCTGGACTTGCTGGTCAGCTTGACTTCGCTCCGTACTTGAACTCCATTAAAAATGCCCTCACATAGGGCTTCCCTGGTGGCACAGTGGTTGAGAGTCCGCCTGCCGATGCAGGGGACATGGGTTCGTGCCCTGGTCTGGGAAGATCCCACATGCAGCGGAGCGGCTGGGCCCGTGAGCCATGGCCGCTGAGCCTGCGCGTCCGGAGCCTGTGCTCCGCAACGGGAGAGGCCACAAGAGTGAGAGGCCTGCGTACCGCAAAAAGAAAAGAACAAAAAAAAAATGCCCTCACATAAACAAAAACTAGGGACTTCCCTGGTGGCGCAGTGGTTAAGAATCCGCCTGCCAAGGCAGGGGGCACAGGTTCGAGCCCTGGTCCGGGAAGATCCCACATGCTGCGGAGCAACCAAGCCCACGTGCCACAGCTACTGAGCCCATGCGCCTAGAGCCCGTGCTCCGCAACAAGAGAAGCCACCGCAATGAGAGGCCTGCGCACCGCAACTAAAGAAAGCCTGCACGCAGTAACAAAAACCCAACGCAGCCAAAAATAAATAAATAAATAAATTTATTAAAACAAACAAACAAACGAAAAAACTAAACATGTACATGGAAAGTAGGTTTGAGGGGAAGTAAATTCAGTAATCAAAATCTAGTTTGTTCATAGCAGAACTTGCATCAAAACAATTGTTTCCTTACAAACTTATCCAAACTTATCCTGTGTTTTTGAAACCTGGATCATTTGGTCTGTTTGGCCAAGGTGATTTTTGTGTTTTTGTGAATGAAACCTTCTAGACTTAGTCAGACTCTAAGTGCTGTTGATCATTCTTTTTTGGTTTAATGAACTCTTGAATATTCCTCTCCACCCCAGCCCTTGACCCCCAGACTAAAGTTGGACCTAGAAATGTTTTACATACAATGACTAAATTTGAAAGAATGCTTTGTTGGCTTTTTTTTTTGGTCGTCCTTTTTTGACTCAGTCTTTTAGGTACAAATACATCATTTAAAGATTTTAGAAGTTGACCTTTTTGGAAAGCAGATTTCTGAGGTGGGGTGTAGCCAAAGATGTGGTAGCAGAGACCAAGTAAAAGAAAACTAGGCATCCCCCTTTCTATTTCCCTTGGGCTCATGCCCCACCCCCCAACCCTGTCTTTTCCCGCCATGGCCCACAAGTAAGCCGGAGCTTAAGTTCTGGAGCTTCATGTCAACAGCTGTAATCCTTTCTCCAGCCCCCATGCCTTTGCTTTGATGGAATGAGGAACAGCACACCTTAGGTGAGATAATTTTGGTAATAAGCCAGTTCTTGAGCACGTAGGGTGTCTTTCTGATTGAGAATGAGGCCAGGTAGAAGGGAGGGAATGGTAGCGGGATGGGACTAGGGCAGAGCAGTGGGGGAGACAGAATGGTTAGTGAGCAGAACAAGGAAACGCAGACAGGGGCTACGTAAATGGGAATCAGTGAAGTCCTGGCTTATAAATTCTTAGCAGAAGTGGGCTTGAGGAGTCAGCACTTGTCTTAGCAAGAACCAGTGAAGCCAAACTAACCTCATTTCCTTTTCTGCTGGGGTTATGGGATTAGTCGATTACAGGAAGGTTGTAGATACAGTATATATAGATTTTTATTTTATTTTATTTTTTGTGGTACGCGGGCCTCTCACTGCTGTGGCCTCTCCTGCTGCGGAGCACAGGCTCCGGACGCGCAGGCTCAGCGGCCACGGCCCACGGGCCCAGCCGCTCCGCGGCACATGGGATCCTCCTGGACCGGGGCACAAACCCGCGTCCCCTGCATCGGCAGGCAGACTCCCAACCACTGCACCACCAGGGAAGCCCTATATAGATTTTAACAAATTATTTAACCAAGAGTTTCAGGGGACTGTAAGCTCCACGAGGGCATAGTAATAATGCAGTAAGTATTTGTTGGATAAATAAATACAGCGGTTAGGTTACTAGCCACTGGAGGTATCCAGCCATAGGTTGAGAGAGTCATTTGGCTCCATGATTGTAGGGAGGATACGAGTACCCAGAAAGGGATTGGACTGGTTTCTCCCAACCCTGACAATCTGTGCCCACCCCGGGAAAAAGCTGTTCTGGAAAGCAGTTTTAACCATTTGGAAGCTCAGCCATAACCTTGACTTTGAGAAACACTGCTTTGACATCCTGTCTTATGTTAGCTTAGTACCACTGTCTTGAGTCATTGCCGGGGAGGGAGCAGTGCAGAAGCGACCGCGTCTGAGCAGTCAGCTTCAGGCTTTGGGTGGGCTGTCTAATTACTGCTTATTGGCTTTTCTTTCTTTGGTGGTGTTTCTCTCTGGTCTGTGCACAGCAAAGGGCAAGGCCGTGGGAGACAGTGGAAGAGGAATTGCTTGCTCATCAGCCTCACTGCCAGGCCGAATCCCGAGCTATTGACGAGCACAGCCGGGCCTTGAAGCTGCATGCCCCGGCGATGTTGAGTGAATGCACTCTCACGCCCTAGGTGCCTGGAACCGAACCAGCAGGGACACTGTCCTCTGCTCTTGCACTTCCTGGGCTGGCTGGCCAGGCTCTCCTGCCCGCGTGCTTCTCCTGCCCCTGCGGTTCCTCCGCAGCCCCGAGGACCATGCTTCAGAGAAGGAAGTAGGGAGAAAAAAAGCCAGACGTAACACAGGACCCTGGGATGCTCTCAGCGGCTGTTGCATGAGGAAGCAATATAGTATTGTCACTTGCAGCTTCCTTAAGACGCACAGTGGTCTTCCTCATGACCAGCTGCCTGTCCGCTGCCAACTCCCTTAGGCGTTTCCGTGTGGCTAAACAGGGAGCCAGAAGCAAACAAAAGTCATGGCAGAGATTCTGATGGTTTAATCCATCCTGCTTCGCGTCACTAAGCATCAGGGCCAGATACGAGTGTGGAGCACGGGGTCAGTGGGAAAGGTGTGTCCTGTCCGACCAGCAGGAGAATCTTCTAGAATTGTCAGGGGTGTGTTTATGAGTGAGGAGACCCAGCAGTGAGGTAAACAAGCCTAGGATTCTGTTCCAGAGAGAGCCAGGGAGCTGGGAAGGAGTTTGCACGTATAGATGCGAGATGAGATGGTTCACAGGTAAGGTTGTCCTCGTCTGACCTGGGGGGGTCCACGCAGGAGAGCGTCCTGTCTGCTGGCCCTGTGGCAGAGGAAGTGACCCCTGAGCCCCTCATTGGCAGGGGAGTTCCTGAACCAGCACACTTCTCAGGGGATGGATATAATTCTAGACCCAGGTCTGGGGTGGCACAAGAAGGGCATTGGGGAAGGGATTTGAATGATCTCAATATATTTTGTAAATGAAATGAACATAACGAGGGTTTGAGAAGCAGCCGTGAAGGAAAACAAACTTGTTTCCTTCCTGATGGCTGAGGAGTAGACCTGTCCTGTGGCCTTGGCCACTGAGCCCAAGTGGTGTGCGGTGGCAGGGAGGACAAGTGGGTTTCCCCTGAGCATCATCCGCTCTCACGGGCAGCTCCCAGGCCCCTGGTCAGCGGGAGTGGAATAAACTTAGGAGGAGGAGACTGTCCCTAGCTCAGGGCCAGCTGTTTTCTGGAATCGAGGTTGGGGTGAGCTTTTTGCCTTTACTTCTAAATGATCTTCAGGGCCAGGAGTTTCCTGATTCACCTGGTGGTAGTTCTCCTGTTCCAGAATCACCCTGTTGGTCTCACCACCTTTTGAGAAAATCAGGGTTGTATTTAGGTTGTCTGCCTGGCAGCCAGTGCAGGTTGATGAGGGAGGATGCGAAATTGTATCTTGTTTACTGAAGGGGTCGACGTTGTCTCTGAAATGCAGGTGAAGCCGTATAATGTTTATGTCACAGTTGCCTACCCACCAGACACAGACACCCCCGGGTTTGCAGAAGAAAACAAAACCAAGGTAAGTACGCCTCTCTGTGCCCTGTTTCGAGTTTTGAACTTAGGAAACCCCTTTTCCCATTTTCTGTCTTTCCACCCTTCGGCCTGGGGGCATTTTCATCAATCAGAAAATTGAGTTCCTTTCAATTTATGTGCTTGCAAGAGGCCTCCGAACTTTCTGGAACTTTCATTTAGAGTCTTGGAGGATGTAGCCCTGTTTCCAAAGGCCATTTTTGCTAAGAATCTTCAAGCTTTATTTAATTAATAAGGTGTTTGCTTTCTGATTGAGAGTACAGCTTGTATTTTAGCTAACAAGATAATACTCTTTAAAAATAATATTTTCTCCCCTGGCCTTAAATACATTTAAACACCTGAAATGGTTGCTGATCCGTTGTCTCCACACGGGGGTCTAATGGGCGCCTAAGACTTAACATTTGCAAAACGAAACTTGTGATTCCCTCTATTATTTTCCATCTCGTTACCCGGCGCCCACCATTCCCCCAGCTGCTCAGGCTGGAAACCGCGAGGCCAGCCTTGATTCCTCCTCTCACACCACACATCCAGGTGACATGCACATCCTCTGGGCTCTGTTCTCAGAATTTATCCCAGATCAGACCTTTTTTTTTTTTTTTAAACTGCACATATCACTACCATCCCAGCAGTGAGAACCACTGATGTTTTTGCCTGAACTTCTCTCATGGTCTTCAGCCTGGTCTGCCTGCTCCTTTTCTTACCCCGCTGGGGTCTGTTCTTCATAAAGTAGCTAGTAATCCTTTTAAAGCCCAAGTCAGGTCTTGTCACTCCCCTGGTCAAACCCCTCTTGTGTAAAAAAAAGCCAAAAAACAAAACTGAAAGAAAAAACCCAAAAGATCAAAACCTCCTGTATAGCACAGTCCTGTAGAATGTTCTAGAATGGTGGAAATGGTCCTGCACGCTCCTGTATGGAAGTCACATTGTGGCTGTTGAACGCTTGCAGTGCAGCTAGTGGGGCCAAGACACTGAATTTCTAATTTTATTTCATTTTAAGTAATTTAAAGTTAGAATTAAATAGCACATGTTGGTGTTGGCTGTATATCAGAGAGTGCAGCTCCCCTAGCTCCCAGCGTGCCTGGAATAGAATCCAGAGGCCTCGAGCCTTTTGGGTCCTGCACTGTCTGGACCTCGGCCACCTGTCCACAGCATTTTCTCCTCTCCTTGGCCTTAGCCACACCGGAGCCCTGTCTATTCCTTGAGCTTGCCTGGCCTGTTTGCACCTGCGGGCTTTGCTCTTGCCATCCTCTCTCTGGATATTCAAATGGATCTTCCTCCTGTGTTTCTTTCCATCTCTGTACAGCCTTCATCTTGGAGAGGACTTCCCTGACCCTCTGTTATCTCAAGTATCCCTCCCGTGAGATGTGAATCCTCTTCCCTGGCCTTATTTTTCTCTATAGTGTTCATCACCTCTGGACATTAACATTAATACAGTGACTGTCAGTCATCCTGAGCTGAGTGCCAGCTCTGCACTTTGTTCAGATGAACCTGGCTTGAACTTTCTGAGCAAACAAAGTGGGGGAGAAAGGAATCAATCAGAACTTATCCCCTTGAAGTTGGTATTGATGTGTTTTCTTCTCTTTTATAAGTGATGCTTAGTAAGTGTGAATCTGCACAGCATAAAAATTGGCACTTATGCTCCATGGGCTGTATATTTGCAACAAGATGTTTATGATTTAGAAGGTTTTTCTCCTATTCATTTCTCTTTGGTGCTGCCTCTTAAAAATTACTACTATTTCAAAGAAGTAAATTTAAGCCAAATGAATAAGGGGAATCTGCTAAGCAGATTTGCAACATTTGGTAAGTGGTCTTTTAGGCAGAAGCCAAAGCTGACAAAGGACGGTGATTTCCCTGTGAAGATTTGATTTTGTTGTTAAATTGGGGTTTTTTGTTTTTCCTCCACTAAAATGTCAGGCTGACTTCTTTGGGTAAATAAAATTCTACCTTGATCTGCGGGTCCCGTAGGGGGCGCCATAGTGCCTTTAAATCTCCTGAGTATCTGGCCACACATGGTTATGTTAGCCTGGGGGTCTGGAAGAATCAATGGTGGCACCTTCAAAAGGGCTTTTCTGTGACAAAGTGAGAGAGTGGCATGGACATATATACACTACCAAACGTAAAATTAGATAGCTAGTGGGAAGCAGCTGCATAGCACAGGGAGATCAGCTCGTGCTTTGCGACCACCTAGAGGGGTGGGATAGGGAGGGTGGGAGGGAGGGAGACGCAAGAGAGAAGAGATATGGGGACATATGTATATGTATAGCTGACTCACTTTGTTATAAAGCAGAACAGCTCGGTGCTTTGCGACCACCTAGAGGGGTGGGATAGGGAGGGTGGGAGGGAGGGAGACGCAAGAGAGAAGAGATATGGGGACATATGTATATGTATAGCTGACTCACTTTGTTATAAAGCAGAAACTAACACACCATTGTAAAGCAATTATACTCCAATAAAGATGTTAAAAAAAAAAAGGGCTTTTCTGTTAATTTAGGTTCATCAAGAAACACTTGACTTTTATGAGCACTATGCTATTCTATTTTAAGAAAATATGTTCTGTTTTTTATTTTATTTTATTTTTTCAAGCCATTTAAGGCTTAAGTTTTGAAACTTCTAACTGAAACTCCCTTCTAAAGAATTTTTGAGCACATGTGTTGCATGTCGTTCCAAAGAAGATTTTTTAAAAATGAAAATAAAGACAGGGCAAGGTATTTTTTTTCATTTTTTTAAACTTAAGCTCTAATGGTCCTCATTGGAACTGAGACATATCCCACAGAGAGTAGCTGGGGTCTCCTTGTCTTGCTTCAGCTACTGGGCTGAATTTTATACAGTAACCAGTAATCAGTAAACTGATTTGAAATCTAGATAGAGAATTCTAAAAACAGGAATCAGTTCAAAGGTAGAAAACTGGAATTATGAATAAATTGGGGGAGGAGGGCTGTAAAATGATTTTTTAATTCGGTGGGCAGTAGTGGTATTGATAAGTCTATTTTTTTCACCTTTAGCCTTTGGAGACCCGTCTTATTTCAGAGACCACATCTGTTTGCAAACCAGAACAAGTGGCCAAACAAATTGTTAAAGATGCCATAGTAAGTAAAAACCTTGTTTCCTTTTATTAATAGTTAACAGTACTGTACTTCCAAAAAGATATTTTACCAGGGCTTATTTCAAAATATAAATTATTGGGGTTTTTTGGTGAGTTAAATTCATCATATCTAATATTAGATTGTACTTTTCTTCCCTTGTTGATTCCACGTTGATTAGTAGGTTCTGGAAACTAGTAATATATCTTAATCTTAGGAACAGATTGATCAGTCTGAGAACTTCGGTTCTTTGAAAGGAAAATGAGACTTAACCTGTGATGTGTAAACGGTATGTACTATATACTGTATACAGCATGTTGTCCTCTTCTCTCCTGCAGTATTTTCAGTTTTAGATTATTTTAGGTGTCTTACTGCCAGATGTGTTGATTAAGGTTTTTTCTTTCACCTTCCTTCTTCCCAGTATCCTTTTCCCAAATGTTTACTAATAAGAAAGTGCCACAAGCCCACTGGGCCATCTTCCTGTCAACTCAGCTAATGCACTTCCAGGCTACCGAGTTTATTCTGAGTCAGAAATGGTATTTTTAGAAACCAGGTGCTATTCTGTAGGACAGCCTATGTGCCACAAGCTTTTTGGCAGCCTTACCGTTAACCCACATGCAGAAAAGTATACATGTACAGGGGATGTCTGTAAACCTTAGGACCCGTTGAATTTAGGAAATTTGGGGACGATTGGAACGAGAAGCGTCAGGAGGCTGGGCCTTGGCCTGGAAGGAACGTCCGTGCCGTTGCATGTTCAGGCTGAGCCGAGCAGAATACAGGAAGCATCGAAGGCTATTAAAATATCTGCAGAAGTGGGGAGAACCTTGCCCTGATTGTGTTCAAAGGCATAGAAAGAGGGCAACCAGCGGATTGGGCGGACTTTGTTTTTCCTGCTTATCTCAAGTCAAAGCAAACACACTCCATGTTTTTAATGATCCGAAGCAGCTCTTCGTATTTTGGCAGGATTCATTTAATCTGGCGGTTCTCACGCTTTTTCATCTCTTGACTCTAAAGTTGTCGACAACCCCAGGGAACTTTTGTTTCCATGGGTTATACTTATCAATATTTGCCGTATCACAAATTGAAACTGCGTCATTTTAAAAACATGTATTCATTTAAAATAACAATGATAAATCCATTATATTTTAATGAGCATTTTTTATAACAAAAATTATTTTTCAAAACAAAATTTAGTGAGAAGGGTGGTGGTGTTTTACATTTCACTGGTTCTTTAATGTCTGTGTTAATAGAGGACAGCTGGATCCTCATAGCTTCTGCATTCGGTCTGCTGTAACATGTTATTTTGAATGAAGGATATAAAGTAGATCTGGCCTTACGGAGACATATAGTTGGAAAAGGAAGGAATATGTTATAGGCTTCTCAGATAATTGTGCACATTCTTATTTATTTTTTGGGAGGGACATAAAACCTAAACTGGATGAATAGTAGTTTCTTAAAGGTTAGTTGCAATGTGAAATTGAAACTCTATCAATGAACTTCTTGTTCTCTGTTACATGTTACATTGGTCTGCCTTGCACTTTGAATGTTTTGTATCCATTCATGGTTTTGTAACATTATGCATTAGTCATTTGGAAAATATGGATTCCTTGAGTTATCAAAAAAATGACATTCATTACTATCACTGCTGATCTTATTATAAAAGTCTTTCTGTATTGGGAAGCTGACAGTCTCAAAATGGCAGATATACATTTTCCCAATTCTTAATTTTTCCTTGAAATCTCAGATTTGAACATTGATCACAAAAGCTGCCAGTTTTCCTTGAAGCGACAGTCCTTTCATTCATTTTCTGCGAAATATCTTCCGGATACCCGTGTTTGAATAACCACAGATTGTCAGTCCATGGTTCTTGCATGTAAAAATAGTGTTCTGCAGAAAAAGCAGGACCTTTCCTGACTACGGTTGGAGGAGGGCTCTTCTTCAAGGCATCTGTCCCCTACCATGTGGATTTGTCACAGAACATTAAGACATGTCCTCAAGGGTTGAGATTTAACAAAACGATTAATTTTACTGCTTTATCGAGGGCATTTTTAATCAAAACTGACATTTAAAATTTTTTTGGAGATTTAAACAATTTCTGTTTTCTTTGTGTATTTATTTATCACTGCAAGTGTGTGTGGCAGTGGAGAGGCACCACCAGTGTGGTCTGTGCTAATGAGACAGCAGTTTTGCCCGTCAGTGCAAGTGTCACTGGGTGAAAAAGGCATTTAACGTCTTAGTATCATCATGACAATCGTTTTGTCCTCGTGGAAGTGTCTCAGGACACTCAGGGTCCATGGACCCACGTTTTGAGAAGTGGCTGTTCAGCCATCCCAGCCCATCTGCTGAGGCCACGTTCGGCTCTGAGCTGCGACATGTGCTTTGTTACCCTCTCCTCCTACCTGAAGTGAACAGACACACGTCATTGTTTCCAATGTGACTGAGTTGATTCCTTCCCATGTCGCTACTATTGCCTCTGTCTTTTCTTTTCCTTCTATTTTAGCAAGGAAATTTCAACAGTTCCATCGGCTCAGATGGGTACATGCTCTCGTCCCTGACCTGTGGAATGGCTCCGGTAACTTCCATCACTGAAGGGCTCCAGCAGGTGAGCTGAGCTGTGCCTAGGCCTCCGGACAGATGGACACACAGACAGACAACAGGCGCCTCTCAGTGAACCTCAATGAGAAAAGGCTAAAGGAAGACATAGCAGCTTTACATGAGGATGTGAAGAATTTTTATTGAAGTATCGACTTTTTTCTTCCTTTACCTGGAAGAAGTAAAAAGGAAGGAGGTTAAAGCTGTAACTTGAGCAATTTAGTCTGGGAAGAAGACTTTCATGCTGGGTACCGTGGATATAGAGAGAAAACACTGTCTCTGCTATTGGGGTGTTAATCTGGGTTCTCCTCTGAGAATCACTCATCTTCTGTGTTTGAAAAATGGAAACCTGTGTCACTAGGGGGATGGGGTGGACTTGCCTAAAAGTCCTGGAATATTAGACTGGAACAATTTCCTGTGGGTCAGGCCACAGAAGCTTAGGGAGATAAGTCAGGGATTCAACGCAATCCCTGCCCTCACGGAAATTATAGTTCGTCCAGAACACACACAAAAGTTAACTGCTCCTTGATGAGCCGGGTGCTGTGTTTGCTACTGGAGCATCAGAGGTAAGGCGACCTCTCTGACCTCAGGGGGCTTGCAGTCTAGATGGAGAGACTGATAAGAATGCTGAGGCTAGTTCAGTGCAGTGTAATGAGAGTTATAACAGAGGGATTGCTCTAGAAAGACCAAGCTGAGGATGACGGAGGGTAGGAGGAGGGCAGGGAGGGGTGGGAAGGCCACTGAGCAGGGGCTGCCCCCACTAGTGGGCAGTTTATGACAAAGCGCTACGCTAAATGTGTACTCGATGTGCAGTCAATGTGCAGTCGACCACGTCCAGACGGAAAGTCCCCGGGACTTAGGTGTTGATTTTCCTCCCTCTTCTCTTCTCACTGTGATTCTCTCTTAAGAGTACGTGCTACGGACTTCCCTGGCTGTCTAGTGGTTAAGACTCTGCTCTTCCGCTGCAGGGGGTGCGGGTTCGATCCCTGGTCGGGGAGCTAAGATCCTGCGTGCCGTGCGGCCAGGAAAAGAAAAAAAGGACGAGCCACTACATTTCTTTTAGATGTTTTCCCTGGGCTGTGACTTTACGTATGAAGTTCAACACGTCCACAGGAAGACTTTATAGTATTTTCCCCAGCATCCTGCCCCCTGCCTTCTGTCAGCAGTTCTGTATTCCCTGCCCCCGTGATCAGTGTTCACGTTCACTTCCGAGACCAACCAGAAACGGGCGTGTCATCGCCCACCCAGCTTCTCCTGCCCCTCACGTCGGGGCAGCTCTGTCCGCCCGCCCTCTCGTCCTGGGTTGGTCCACTTTCCTGGCCCTGTCGCTGCTCGTGTAGCTCAGACCAGGACACTCCGTGCCTGAGGCTTTGTGCACCAGAGGTTGTGAACCGGGGAGTCACGTGCCTGTGAAACGTTCTGTTTGGTCCATCTGGTATGAGCCTGCGTGTGGAAATAGAATAGTTTCAAAATTAGATTTACGTTCAAAGTCGAGATTTTGGACTTTCCTTGGAGACCCAGCAGCCCAGGGTCTGCATTCTCACCTGGCGTCACCGGCTGGCACGGGTGCGCAGGACACAGACTCCCAGCCCCTGTGGCGCGGCCCTCTGACCTCCGGCCCTGTCACCCCCTCTTCCTTCTCCTCTTGCCCCTCCTCTTCTTTCTGCCACTTTTTCATTGTTCCTCCATCCCCACTTTCCTTTGACCAACTTCCAACCTTCCTTCAAGGTCTCACCTTAAACGTTGCTTTTTCCAGAAATCTCCATGACTGGGTGAAATGCCTTGGACTCACCCCTGTTTTAGCCTCTGATTATGCTGTAGTATAATTGCTTTTTGTGTGTGTGTGTGTGTGTGTGTGTGTTTTTTCATTCCCTTAATTTAAAAAAAAATTTGACTTTATTTATTTATTTTGCGGTACGTGGGCCTCTCACTGCTGTGGCCTCTCCCGTTGCGGAGCACAGGCTCCGGACGCGCAGTCTCAGCTGCCATGGCTCACGGGCCCAGCCGCTCTGCGGCATGTGGGATCTTCCCGGACCGGGGCACGAACCCGTGTCCCCTGCATTGGCAGGCGGACTCCCAACCACTGCTCCACCAGGGAAGCCCTGACTTTATTTTTTAGAGCAGTTTTAGGGTTATAGAAAATGTGAGTGGAAATTAGTGAGTTGCTGCAGACCCTCTCTTCCCCTCCCCCCTCCCTATTATTAACATCTTGCCTTAGTGTGGCCGCACTGTTAATTGATGAGCCAGTATTGATACATTATTACCAACTGAAGTCCATAGTTTGCACTAGGGTTTATTCATGGCGTTATCCATCCATCCTGTGGTTTTTGACCAATGTAGAATGACATGTATCCACCATTACAGTGTCATACAGACTATTCACTGCCCTGACATTCCCCTGTGTCCACCTATTCATCCCCCACCCCCTTTCTGAACCCCTGGCAACCCTTGATCTTTTTACTGTCTCCAGAGTTTTCCTTTTCCAGCTTCCCTTTGGTTTTTACATTTTTCAAAATTATCCCTGCGCACACTTCAGAGAATCAAATCGTTTTTAAGACTCATTATGAGAAACAGCAAACCCTCACCCCATATCCCGCGTTTCACCTTTCTCAGAAGCAGTCAGGCTGCCCTCTTAGCTGGACCTTCTGACCTTCACCTCCTTATCTCTAGGCAGATACTGACGTGGCCGCTTCCACTTGACTCCTCGGTTCGGGATCAGGTACTAGCTCTGCTCCGAAGGATGAGGATGGAGCTCCCCTTGTTCCACGCTGTCCCACCTGCTCACACCCGCCTCTCCTCCATCCCCACCCTCCCTCTTTTTAGTGATATTGTGATTTTGGTTAGACCTGTATTGAGATCACCATCCTTAGGGCTATTTAAATGCTGTTCACAGCTGAGCTATGTAATGCACATAAGTAATTTTCCTTTCTTATGCAACCTTTTGTTTTCCCCGAAACTATTGTCGGCCTTTTTTATGTATTATTTCTGTGTATTATTCCTAATGACTGGTCTTCATGTCCTCTCAGAAACATCAGATACTCTTGTCAGTTTCACCACTGGAAGGAATGCCTCCTGGTGCCTTGTGATCTGCCTGTCAGGACTGGCAGCCCCCAGTCAGGTGCTTAGCTGACCCCGGCCTCCCCTTCACGGTCATCCTGGGGGACCCCTCTGCCTCTCCTGGGTATTGGGTCTCCTGCCTTCTGCGTCACAGGACATTGCCTTGCTTTGTTGACACCGCTCTCTTCGGCTGTTTACCTCTTCTGGTAGCTTCCTCAAAAAAGGGTGCTTGGGAGGCAAATTTTTTGAGGCTTTGTGTATCTGAAACGATTCCTCTTTGTAGTTTTATGCCTTTCAAAATTTCCACTTCCAGGTGTTGTAGTGAGAGTTCTTTAGTGGAGAGAGTGAAAATTAATGGATGTGGTTAATTGCTGTCTTAACCCTGAAATAGTAATTGCCCTTTTCCAGTTGGTTGTCTGCCCTGGTATGGAGTGCGCTGGTGGAGGCCGGCACTGGGCTTTCTCACCACAGTGCTCTCAGCACCTAGCGTAGGGTCTGCCTTTTATGGTCAGAACATAAACCTTAAACCAAAAAGCCTTGATTGTAGCTTGGATATTTGAGGTGCTGGTCTGGATCTACCCTAGCTCAGAGAACCCCAAGACTACTAAGAATCCCTATTTTGTTCTTTGTATAATTTGCATATATTAACTGGACAAACGTTTTGTCGTTACCTGTCTGGCAGGCCCTGTGCTCCCCAGTGGCTCAGAGCAGACAACTTCTGTTCTCCGTGTTCTGCTGGCACTTACAAAATTTTCATTTTACGTACTTATCGTTGGAGCAGATTGGAAGATGCGTCTTAGAAACTGTTTATCAGAGACATATCCTAAAATCCCTTGAAATGGATGATTGTGCCATCCTGTTGCATGAGCTCAAAGGTCTCTTTGTCTTGCAGGTAGTCACCATGGGCCTCTTCCGTACGATTGCTTTGTTTTACCTTGGAAGCTTCGACAGTATAGTTCGTCGCTGCATGATGCAGAGAGCGAAATCTGAAATTGCAGACAAAACTGCCTAATTCTTATCCCTTGGAAAAAGACTTTCTAAATAATTTGACCAGCTTGCTGCTAAACGGGACGCAGTTTTTGGCCTGCAGACATTCATGTCTTGCTTTCGAATCTGTGAGATTGGACCAGTGCTCTTCAGAAACCTGGCTGCAAGCAGGGGGATAGACGTTCAACTCCAGAGAATATTATTAATACTATGCAAATTTGGAGCAGGAGACCACTTGATTCTCCGAGGCGGAGAAGTGATGGTAAGGGAATTCATAGCGTGTGAGCAGGGTAAATGACAGGGTTCCAGAGTGATCACTGAAAATTTTTTTCTATTTATTCTTTTTTTTCCCTGGTAGAGATCAAGTCCAGAAATGTACTTTCCAAGCACTTTTTTTAACCTTTCATGAGAGGCAGTTTATGGGTTCCTGGGGCCTTTTTCTTTTCTTTTTTCTTTCTTTTCTTTTTAACTTGGTGTATTTTATTCCAGATGCATTTTATACATTGCCGTTGTGTCTGAGTGCATAGTAACGTCCCTCACTTACTCTGTTGCTGGTGGACTCTCGTGGCTTCTCTCTCTTTGATCCCATAAAACTACAAGGGGGATGGGAGAGGGCAATGCAGTGGAACAAAGGAGATAAATATTTTCCAGTTGGAAAAAATAATGCTTTCTTGTCTTCTTTAGACTCAGTTGCTTAGGGCACTGTTCATTTTTCGTTCACCGGGAAAGGCAGGCTCCTAAAATGTTTTCTGAAGAGAAGTCAAATCTTAGTAGCTTAAAAGTTTACAATTTCTTCAATAGCCATGATGACCTGAAGCTCACCCATGCCATTGTAGTGTCTTATTCTTCCCATGTCTTCCTTTCCAATTTTGCTTATACTGCTATAATATTTTTGTAAAAAAAAAAGAGAAGACCAGTTTTTTTTGACTTGACTTTTTAAATTAGTTAATGAATTTATTAAAGCAAATGAAAAAATTAGAAAGCGTGACCTTTGTCTCCTCGTAGCATATATGTAGCTTTTAAGAAAGGCTGATGATAGCATGTTTCAGTTTTATTCACTAAGAAAAAAAATGTAGGACGACAAGGCCGATGTTGAAGATACTCGTTTTTGAAATAAAATGATCACCCTGTTCTTTCTGTGACTCTCCCACTGACCCTGAGAACATCCTCTCTGTACCACATGTTAAGAAAGCCCAGCCATCACTCTCACCGTAGAGACCTGGAAATCCTGTTGGTCCCCTGAGTTTTGTTTCGAGATGCCAGGCTCCGTTGTCCATTGGTTGGATTTCCACAGCAAGTGCCTCTGATGAATTTTAGCCACCGCTACCTGCTTCGCTCTGTCATTGTATATGTTCCTCCAACTTTGAGGGCAGTCACCTCCATTGTAACGCTGTGTCCCCTCCCCTTTGCATACACAGTAAGTTTATACATTACCACCTTCCAGTTCCTTTTGGTGAGAAAAGACCACTGCTTTTGAAGAAGAAACTTTTTTTTTTATTGTTTAAAAAAAAACAACACAAAAGGTTGTTTCGGTAACAGTACAAAACAATACAATTCTACAAAAGATTAAAGACCTAAAAATTATTGCAAATCTTTTTTGCTTTTGAGTTTTTGAGCTCTTGACTTTAAAATGACTTAATTTTTACAAAGTAAGAGGTCTAATGGCTTTAATCCATGGTGTCTTTTTAAAAGACATGAGAATGGCACATTTTCAAACACTGACAAAGACAGAAGAAATTATTATTTAATATATAAGTTGCTTGAGATGACTTCATTGCAGTTTACGGGGGTGGTTTGAACCCATAATGGTTTCATGAATCTTTCAGCCTTAGAGAGCCATCATCTGCAAAGTTGAGTCATATCGGGCAGCCTCTAAAAGGGAGTAAAGGCTGTGTTTTCCTAATTCATGGATACAAATTAATAGCTGGGTGCTTCTCAATTTTATTCTTTTCTCATAAATGTTTCTTGAATGTTGGCACCTTCTACTGAAGGTCTATATTAAAATCTAGTCCCAGGTGATGCCTCATTTAATAAAATTAACTATTTTGCAATAGTTATTTCAATATACATTTCTCAAGGTGTCCTCAGAGAGAACACTGTGACTCCAGGTCATCTACTGCCTGAACAAATTTGCAATCCCCTGTGCCACGGTGGGGAGATATCCCCAACCCAAACGAAGCTCAGGCATGAGAGCAGATTTGTGGAGGTTATAGTATCAGGGAATGGGCTTCTTTGTCAGAGATGGCAAAGGTCTACATTCTTGTAACCAAAAAGCTTTGAAAACTGAGGTGTTCCTTTTTTTCTCCCTAAATTTGGTGCCGTAATTCATTTGATAGCAAAACCTGACTTGAACTGATTTGAGATTATTATAGTTTTTATTTATGCCACTCTATGGGCTGTTCATTAATTTTGTCCGAAGAAATACCAATGGGTTTGACTTACAGGGATTGCCCCAGACTCTGTGGAGATGTTTTGTAATATCCAGTATATGCCCCATATTACCTTTTTAAACGCAAAAAAAAAAAAAATGATGAATTCTGAAACACATCTGGCCTGAAGGGCTTTGGATGAGGGATTGTAGAAACTTAAGCAGCATCACATAATGATCTGGCTTCATCCAAAACATGAAAATATTACAAGGCAAATTCTATTTTTTATCCTTTTTGGCTCAATTCTTGTACAACCTTTTTTTATACTGACTTGCTTTTTTGCTCAGGGGAAGAAGAGAAAGCCCGAGTCAGATTGTTAGGGAAACTACTGGCTTTTCTTTAAGGATTGCATTGATTCAACACTTTCTGTTGTACCCAGAAGTGGGTGTGTCTTACTTGTGCCAGAAGTTCAATCATAATTCTGTTGAAATGTGGGTTCTCTCTGTGTGAGACATAGGTTATTATGTGAGTTTCAGTTCCAAGTGTCTGCCTCTGCTAGGTTGGCGTGTACTGTTTTATTATAATGTATTTGTGAGTATATTTATTTTAAAATGCTTAACGTTACTCAGCCTTAGAAATTCCAAAATATGTTCAAGGACCCTCTGTCATTGAAAAAGGTGTAAAAACAATTCTCATTTATTTTTACAAAAACAAAGTCAAGAGAGTTGTTCTTTATATTTTAAAATTTAATTTTCACACCTGAAAGGAGAAGAAATTAAAAATGCTGTTAGTGATGGCCCCTTTATACAAACACATATATGTTTAATTATGACTCTATTTGGATCTGTTAAGCCATATATTGTTGATTCTTAGAAGTAAAAATTTGAGAGACCATTTCTAATATTTAGATGACAAGAGCATTTTGATCATAGTTGCTTAGATGCAAAGAATTATGTCTTTGTCTTTCTAGAAGTCAATACCATAATAATTTCTTTTTCTTACTGAATTGTATCATCAACAGATTTAATTTTATTACATCATATTCCACTTTAAACGTGTCTTAACTCACTTGAGGACACTTAAAAGATTCACGCTTTTTGACATAAAATGTTTTGAATCTTTCTCATTTCCTTATCTTCTTAGTGACTCAGCTTTGAAAAAATACCTACTAACCATAACCTTCCATATTCTGGACTAAATCTTGTTTAGTTCAGACCAGTGATGGCAGATTTGGTATTTTGAAGAGGAGGTAATTGCTATTATATTTTACATTTGCTTGATGTGACAACTCTAAAGACATTTTTAAACTGATAAGAGTGCCTATGGCTATTTTGATATATATTAGAACCTGTGTTTGCTACTTTAGAAGCTTTTGTGGCAGAATTGTAACCTGATTTTCATATCTTGTACTGAATCACAACAAGAAATAAATGGGGAACACGCTTTACAGATTCAAAAACGTCTTTTTTAGAAATGTCCATTTTTTTAAAGAGATGTTTAAACAAAACACAAACCTCTTTCATAATGTTATCCTAACCTTGCATCTTAAACACTTGACAAGGCTTGATTTATATCACTTTTTTAGGAAGTAATATTTTCACGGTAAGTATTTCGTATTCTGGGCCCTTGTTTCAAATATGTTCAATGTTTGTTTGACTCCAGTGTGGGATATATGAGTAAAAGAGTAAGAAATGTGGAATTTAATAAAATTTCTTAAGTAATTATGTTTCATACACAAATAAATTGATTTCCCATACTTTAAACCTTCATATTCCAACAATGAAATATCTCCTAGACTCTTGAAGGGCATAGAAGAGAGATACGGGAAAGGACACGCCTTAATATTTATTTCTCCGTCCTTAAATAGAAAAATTTTGGTCACATCGAGAAGAGATGCTTTGGATGTCTTGATTGGCAAACTTAACCTGTCTTTAAATTTGAGCAACTTATATATGTAAATGGCATAGATATCACTTCTATAATTTTTTATGTTCGGACGTTTAAAAAGAGAAACATTTCCTAACTTCTGTTCCACTCCTGATTTCATACACCCCATTTTTCCTCCTTCAGCATGTATTTATTGAGTGCCTGTGACGAGCTCGGTATCCAGGCGCCAGGGATATGACTTTGCATAAACAATCTGTCCCTCCCTTGTGGCAATTACATTTCTTATTTCCCTCCCCCCCTTCATCCCTCTGGAGGCTCTTACAAGCCTTACGAGAGGAAGGGGAACCACTCCCCATTCCTTTCTTCAGGCCTCTGAATTTTATGCCACAATTATTTGAATACCAGGCACTATTCTAGGCTGGGAATGCACAAAGGCAAATATGGTCCCTGCCCTCAAATAGTTTATAATCTAGGGAGAAAGACACACGTCAGAGATTACATGGTGATCCAACAATAGCTATGATTAAGGTATCATAACATTTGAAAACGTAACCCGTGCCAGTCACTGTTGTGAGTGCTTTGTATTTTACTCATTTAAATCATCCACTAACCCTACCAGTGGTACCTTTATATCCCCATGTTATAACTGAGGGCACAGGCACAGAGCTGGTATAAGTAACTAGGTCAGGGTCGCAGCTGCAAAGCGATGAAGCCAGGATCCACACCAGTTTTCTGTCTTCGAAGCTCCTAGCCTGCGTACGAAACCTCT